AACAAAGCGGAACTTCTATGGAGAAATGGCCGGATGTGCACGTTGACAGGGAGGTAAAGGCTTCCGCTGCAAGGATACTCCATGCGATTACAATTTAAAACGAAATCCTGGGAAGACCGAGGTAAAAACAGACCAGAGTAAAGAAGGCGAGTGTATACTGGAGCGAAAACATACAAAGCCAACGGGAGCGTAGCTATCAAAGCCAAAATGTGAGTACAGGAATTTTTGTCATTCAAGACCCTCAACAACGTAAGGGGGAGGTAGTTGGATTTTCCGGCTGGTGGTCTGAGAGTCAGGCTGCAATGACTCCTTCTTAATGTTGCCTTTATTGCACTCCAACTGCGTGGGATCCGAGTAGGATGTGGGCTGCATGACCAGGGGCGGCTTCGGCCGTACCAGACCCAATCCTCTATGTTGGTCGAAAGCGTGGTCATTTGTTCTGTGAACCAGGGGTATCACAACCACTTTCATCTGAGTTGTCTCCTGCGGACACTCAACTTGATGTGCAGGGCGATATTCTAAACTTGTAAGATTTGGAACGCAATAGAAACCTCAGCAATCAGGCCATGTAAAGGCAACTAAAACTACGATGGCGGGGCCACTTTGTGTGTGACACACGGCAAATGAGCTCTTCTCAACACTTTGATCCACCCCTATCAGTGCCCGCATCTGTTAAGTGACCGGCTCTGACAGTCGACTAATGCACAGGATATGGCGGAGTGAGTGATGTCGGCTCTCAGCGCCTAATTCCTCCCAAAAAAGTCACACGCACGTCAGACTATCACGGTGCGCTAAAAACTGTCATTTCAAAGGGAACCAACTTTTGCTTTAACACTTGCCAAGTAGACAGACTAGCTGTACTTTTTCTTCAGTAAATCTGCTGCGTAACTGCTGATGATTTTGAGGTTTGAATTTCAGGAGTGTCTAATTCATCGCGGATTTCTAAGGGCATCACATTCTCACACGAATAATATTAAAATTATTTGAAGAAAAGTGCTTTCAAATAATACCCCGGTCAATCAATGGGTTGCAACCCAAACTATTGTTAGAGAGACGGCACTATCTGCGTGAGAAAGCTGCGCGGCTGCATATGCCCTAATCTTAATCCGTAAGCATTCGATGAAAATTCGATCGGAAACCGAACCTTAACCCTTGACCTTAAATCCTTGATCCAAGCCCTAAAACCTCAGCCTAAATACCTAACCCTTATTCTAAACCCCAATCTGGCCTCGGCCACAAGTCTCGAATATAACCCTAGCCTGAAAATCTCAGCTCCATTGATAGCCCAACTTCTAATACAAACCGTATCTCTAACCTGAACCTTGAGCTTTATCCGGACCCTTTTTTAGGTCGATAACGCTAGTGAAGATCAAAATCCGCGCACGACATTATCGTCGCCGGTATTTCGTCAGGCAAACCGTTCTGACTCAAAGAAGAGCATCATCGACGAATTCAGGGAAGAACGAGGTGTCCATTTCTGGTTTATTGGCCGTCGTCAACCAGCCATCCACAATCCCGAGGTGTGAAAAATCCGGAACTCGATTCTGCGACCTGTTGGTTAGAAGACAAGGGTCTTCCTCACCACGCCTCAGTCGCGTTGTCTTGTCGGTTAGAATGAGGTGTACCCAAAATTATACAGGGTGCTCACCGATCGCGCTACGGGGCTCACACGTCCGTTGTGACTTAGCGTCACACCACGCCGTAAAACTGGCAGGTCACCTGTTCACAAAAGGATGATAAATGTAGGTTAGCAATCACGTCCATGGCCAATGCCAGTCATTCTCAGTAGGGCAATGTAACAGGTTGCTACGTAATGAATAAAAGCGAAACGACGTTTAAATTTAAGTTAAGGGTTAACTTCGACGCAAACGTAGGGCCTACGTTAAGAATAAACGTCAAGTTATGGCTCAGATTATGACAGGGGAATAGTTGCCTATTCTGAACTTTAGGTAATGGGCATATAGACGATTCTGACTTAATGCTGAGGAAAATTAACCTACAGAAAATGTAGTTGGAGCGTTCGGAGGCAGTGAATATATGGGAGGCGAAGGGATGAGGTATTACATCATCCTGAACCAGATATACTGATAAAATAAGAGAAAGATTGTAACTTGCTATTGTTGCAGTTCGTAAGATATATTTGTCTCGGCATCCATGCAAAATATCGAACTAAGTTTAATGACCTTAGTGAGCATCAATCATTTGCAAAATGATTTATTACTTTGTGGACTGAAACACATGACTACATCACGTCTTCTCTTTCGGGGTGAACATATTTTTGGCAATTTTCCATTCAGTATTTGACTCCTGTGTTAAATCCACCTATATAAATATGTTCATTTTAAATAGTTTACAGAGATTAAAAGTTGCAAACCTACGTCAAGCATCCTAAAACGCATAAAGTTTGTTTTCTCACACAGTCCGCATTCCTACCTAGCTCAATATAATTCTTCAACGAAATTCAACTGAGATTCCATCACATTACTTGTTACTTTTTCTGCGTTTCCAATAATAATTATTGAGTAACTGACTCTTTGGCTCCTCCATTCTTATTAACCATCGAAATTTGGTCGTTATTTGTTGATGGTACTGACGGACCTCTGACCATCACCGCCGAGTATATGATCAATCCTGCACTTGTAACCCACGTTATGCCTTCTATCCGTTTATCAACAGGAGTCCAATACGATTGAACCGCACGTGGTCTGCACTAAGCCTTCATTCCTAAGTCATTGTGATGACTAGCGACCTTATTTCATACGCGCAAATATTTGTGGAATTTCGCCGCGATGTTTCCCTCGTAGGCTTTAAAGGCAATACTAGCGGTCTAGGTTTTATAAATCTGAGATATGACTTCACCGTAGAAAGAAGGTGTAATTTGAGATAGAGTTATCTGAAAGTAGTGAAGAGCCGGCGTTTAGAGGGAGTGAACATATTGGAGAAAGGATGATAGAAATTTGTTTAATAGCAGTTATTGATCTTCTATACCAGGCAAACTGCTTCAATACGACGTCATTTTTAAGAAGAATTGATTAGGATCAGATGCGCCTACCAGCATCCGACCTCTTTTTGCATAAAAATGCAAGGATAACTCATTAGCACTTTGAGCAGTGCGATGCAGGAATGCATTTTGGTAAAACGGTAGGCAGTGTCTGTGTCTCTTAAAAGCATGATTTAGCTAATGGAGCGAGAAAGGTTATATTGCTGAAACATCGCAAGTTCGGAGGCATTCGGTCTGATATGCCCGGACGAATTACGAACAGCTGCGGTAGATGTGGATGTTATTATAATTCAAGGTCGTCAGATAACGCACAAATTTGGTATTATCCCTGTACATTATGAAACCAACAACCCAACGGTATATTTGTATTCCTCTACTGGTCCAGAAATTGTACTCACATCTAAATTTCACTTTTACAACAAGTTTAAACTTAAAAATTAATTGTTTTTCTGTTATCAAATTTATTCCTTACTGTAACTACGTATTTCTTCATTTCCTTTTAAGGAAAAAAACATTTTCATGCATTTATTGTAAATCTGTGTATTTCACAGTAGCAGGCCGATTTACATTTAATTTACAATAATGCAATGGTGTTTTGGAATATCATCAATGTCCAATCAGTCCTAGTGAAATTGATACCAACAAGAACAAGCTACTTCAGTCTTATGTCAACCACCAGTACATACAAATGCAAGATGTCAAGCCGACTTCGAAATCATTTGAACGTTCAGCCACGTTTTGTGGTTTCATTTTTTGCCCAACGCCCCTAACCACTGTACCCCGGGCTCGTTATCCTGTCGGTTACGATCGGGCAGCAGTCGTGATAATTATCTGAAATTTACTCTGCACGAATCATGAAATGTCCGCAGATTCCAGAAAACGCTGCACGAATATGTTCATATCTGAATTCAATTATACAGAAAGAACACCTGCGTACATTTTGACATCAAACAAGTGCACAAATGCATCCAATTTTTTTAGACGACGCTTCGATATTTTACGTATTTATAAATTATCCAAACCGCATAGCATGCAGGCTTTCTGCACAATTTATGAATTGCTTCGCTTTTTGGCACGACGAGACAATCTGACGTTCAGGAACATTCACAGGTTGCACTGAGATATATAAACCCTCACTCGCATTGACATGGACATTTGAGAGTACTAAAACGTCCAGAGGCGGCAGTTATCATGTTTTGATGGGGGACATAGGCTGATGCATGCGCGGTGAGTGACAAAATCGCATGCATGAAGTGGACTGTTGGTGAAGGAGTTATGGTTGACTGCAGTGACAACGTCATTAAGGTTCGTTTACTGTTGAATTTGCCTGTCAGATAGAGACCGAGACAGAGTGAGTTGGACATGAATTGACCAAAATTTCTGACACGATCATCATTGTTAGTGCATTGAAGTACTGCTTCAAAAGGTTAATAAAGGAAGTCACCATGACAAATAAGTTCGGACCTAATATTCATACGAGGTGCATAGTATTCCATTCGATGTCACCGTTGATATTGAGACCCTCGTCAACCCGATTCCTGCCGATGAACCTCTCACTCGGTTAAAGTACGCTGTGTCCAGCGTGTGCCTAAATCGGAAAACAAGATTTGGCGGGACATGTTTAAGCAAGTGGAACCCAGTGATCAAACAATGGGCGGTGGAGTGCACTCAAGATAGGCTGGCTCATCTCATCCACATCCTTTGATCTCCAATCTTTTTCACTTTGTCTTGACACGGGGCACATATGGGGAAGAGTACAGAGTGTAGGTAGATCCAGCGCAAATCTACTGGCACTATAAACCCATGCGCAAGTCACCGACCCTGCTTCCACCACTGCTGATGTGGGGCACACGGTGGATATCGTCGGATGCGATGGTCAAATTATCGTGTATGTGTGTGATTGTGTCTCCGCTATGTACAGCAGCGTCGGCAGGATGACGACCTTGTACATCTTCAGCTTCTTGCTCAGTTGGAGATCATGACGATTCCAAACTGTGCTTTAGGGGCGGCCGAAGGCTTGACTGGTTTTCGAGATCCTGTTGGCGACTTCGTCATCGATCTTGGTGTTGCGGGAGAGGGTAATACGCAGGTACGGGAAGTTCTCCATCACTTGCAGTTGGGTTCCGTTCACACTGATTTGCGGCGCGTTACTTTGTTTGGTGGCGGTTGATGCATGAGCACCGTCTTCTGCGTGTTGATGGCCAGACCGAAGTTGTCGCAGGCGGCGGATTACAGGTCCATGCTCCATGGCATCTCCCATTCCGAGGTGGTGTTCAGGGCTCAGTCGTCGGCGAAGAGAAGCTCGTGAACGGTGCTTGTGGATACGCATGATTGGAAGTGCATCCGTCGTTGATTCAGAGGGCGAACGTCCGTCCTGTAGGCGATGCAGATACCGGGGCCTTTGTCGCGATAGGCGTCCATCAGCATGGCAGAGAACATAAAGCTGAAGAGGGTGGCGCCAACACGCATCCCTGCTTCACTCCGTTGGTCACTGCGAATGCCTCTGAGACAGTTCCGTTATCCGTGAATCGCGCCATCATGCCGTCGTGCAGCTGACACACCATCTCAATGAATCGCTCCAGACAGCCGAATTTCTGCATGATCTTCCACAATCCTTCACGATTCACCGTGTCGAATGCTTTCGTCAGGTCCACAAATGTAGAGTACATGCGGGTCCGCATCTCCTGACACTTCTCCTCGAGTTGACGGTCGACGAAGATCATATTTGTGGTCCCGCGATGACGACGGAAGCCGCACTGGCTTTCGGGCAGAAGGCCCTGTTCCAGATGATTATTCAGACGACTGAGGAGGATGCAAGCGAAGATCTCCCCGCGATATTCAGTAAGGAGATGCCGCGGTGATTGTCGCAGACCTTCGTGCCACATCTCCTGGAAGAACGCAGTCAGGTGATCTATAAGTTGGGGACATCGGTGCTTGTAGACTTCATTCGGGATTGCGTCCGATCCGGGTGCTTTCCCGCTGGAGAGCTGCTGCACGGCCCTAATGGTTTTATGGCGAGATGGCGGGAGGTCGGGGTCCACTTTGGTCTCCACTTGCGGCAGGAAGGCGATGGCGGCGTCGAAGATGGCGGAGGGGAGGTTGATGACGCCTCGGAAATGCTCGGCCCATCGCTGTAGAATGTGTGCCTTCTCAGTCAGGATAATAGTGCCGTCGGCGTTGAGGAGAGTAGCAGTGCCCTTTGTCGGCTGCCCTTCGTAGACAGCTTGGATTGCGGAGAAGACGTTCTTCCACTCGTTGCGGTCCGCGTAGCCTTGGATCTCCTCAGATTTTCGAGCAGTCCAGGCATCCTGCATCTCGCGCAGTCGTTGCTGGATTTGGTGTCGTCCGCGGTAGAAGGCAGATATGTTGTCATCAGTGAGGTTGACTTCGTAGGCTTTGTGTAGGCGGTTCTTCTCAGCGAGCAGATTGCAGACGGCGGCTTCATTGTCGTCGAACCAATCCTGGTGTTGACGGCGTGCGCGAAAGAGGACGGCTAGTGCTGTCGCCTGGACTGTGTCTTGCAGTTGGCACCATCGGTTATTCACGGAGGCGTTCTCGGCAGCGGCGGCGTCGGCAGTGACAGCTGCAGCGGTTTAAGGTGTCTAGCCGTTGAGCTAGCGCATTGCTGAAATGACGACGGTGAGCAAGCAAAGACAACAAGGCAACATCCAACTTACCTGGGGATCGCTTACCTCGTGGTCTCCTGCGAGGCTGTAGGCGAATACGCATCTTCGAGATGACGAGGCGATGGTCGGTACACCCGTCAGCAACCGCGATCGCCTTCCTCACTAGCACGTCTCGCTGATCTCGCCTCCGGACGAGGACATAGTCCAGCAGGTGCCACTGACGCGACCGAGGATGCCTCCAGGTTGCCTTCTCTCGCTCCGGCAGAGAGAAGAACGTGTTCATCCGGATGAGGCGGTGTTCTGCGCAGGTGCGTAGGAGGAGCAGGCCGTTGTCGTTGGAGCCGCGGAGACCGTGGGGGCCCAGCACTCGTGAAGAAGGAGACACGATCGCTGGGACAAGAGCTTTATTAGCCTGACGTTTCGGATTGCTGCTCGAACCCATCATCAGAGACAACAGCAGATACGGGTGATTCATGCACCAGGGGCTGCAGTATTTATAGGATGCAGTCGCCATGCTACCGCATTCCTATTCACGGCTCCCCCCTTTCATCCGGGATCGTTGCACGTGGTGTGTTAATTGCTTGATGGCCGACGTTCGCGTCGTTAATTGCTGCAATTTCATCACGTGCGTTGGATGCTGGTGTGATGATTGCTCGACCATCTGACGCATCGATCCTGGTGTTGGGAAGATTGTTCACATGTGCGCTCCCCGCGCGGCCAATTACTCCGCCTAGGCGAAGTCTCAGGACAGAGTATGGAAGGGGAAGTTCATTGCACTTGTTAATGGACTGGAGGCCCGTAAACCATGATTCAAGTAGCTCCCGGCCCACGCGGTTGTCACCTCTTGCGAGAATTTCTGCCTCGTCGAATTTGAATGCGTGGCCGGATCTCGTTGAATCAGCCGCAACTTGGGAGCGGGCGTCATTTCTCCGCACTGCTGCAGCGTGTTTGGCCATTCTCGTTCGGAGCTGTCTTCCGGTTTCTCCGACGTAGTTTCTTTGTCCGCAACTGCACCAGATCCGATAAACGACTCCAGACGTTTCTAGCCGTGACAGTGGGTCTTTCGGTTTCATTACCAGACGCCTGATGGTTGCCTCCGGTCTGTACCCCACTCCAACCCCAAGTGGTGCGAGAAGGCGGCCGACAGCTTCCGAAACGTTCTTGACATACGGAAGCGCCCGCCAAGATTTGGTGTCCGTGCGGTTAGGCCTTTCGTCCCGGTTGACGAAGTTGCGGGGGTATCCATTGGCTTTGAATACCCGTCGGAGGTATTGTAGTTCGGCAATCTTGTCTTCCGGCTCACTGCAGTGCGTTTCGACACGCCGATAAAGCGTCCTTACACAGCTGCGTTTGTGGCTGATTGGGTGGTTGCTGTTGAAGTTCAGTACTTGCATCGTATTTGTCGCTTTCCTGAACACTTTGGTCTTTAGTCCACCAAAATCTTTACGGCGTACGAGGACATCCAGGAAGGCCAGCTGGTTGTTCTCTTCCTCCTCCATCGTGAATTGAATGTCCGGGAAGACGGCGTTGAGATGTCCTTGGAATGTCAACACCTGATCCCCTTCGATGACGACGAAGGTATCATCCACATACCGGGCCCAGAACCAGATCCGATCGGATCTGGTGCAGTTGCGGACAAAGCAACTACGTCGGAGAAACCGGAAGACAGCTCCGAACGAGAATGGCCAAACACGCTGCAGCAGTGCGGAGAAATGACGCCAGCTCCCAAGTTGCGGCTGATTCAACGAGATCCGGCCACGCATTCAAATTCGTCGAGGCCGAAATTCTCGCAAGAGGTGACAACCGCGTGGGCCGGGAGCTACTTGAATCATGGTTTACGGGCCTCCAGTCCATTAACAAGTGCAATGAACTTCCCCTTCCATACTCTGTCCTGAGACTTCGCCTAGGCGGAGTAATTGGCCGCGCGGGGAGCGCACATGTGAACAATCTTCCCAACACCAGGATCGATGCGTCAGATGGTCGAGCAATCATCACACCAGCATCCAACGCACGTGATGAAATTGCAGCAATTAACGACGCGAACGTCGGCCATCAAGCAATTAACACACCACGTGCAACGATCCCGGATGAAAGGGGGGAGCCGTGAATAGGAATGCGGTAGCATGGCGACTGCATCCTATAAATACTGCAGCCCCTGGTGCATGAATCACCCGTATCTGCTGTTGTCTCTGATGATGGGTTCGAGCAGCAATCCGAAACGTCAGGCTAATAAAGCTCTTGTCCCAGCGATCGTGTCTCCTTCTTCAAGACTACTTCCTGGGACTCGTCTCTTCGCTTCTATTGCCCAGCACTCCTCTCCAGACAGCACCGTCTGTGCCGACGCGGGCGTTGAAGTCACCGAGGACATTCAACTTTTCCGCCTTCGACACAGTCGCCAGGACGGCGTGCAGGCCCTCGTAGAATTTGTCTCTTAGGGACTCAGGACTGGTCATCGGCGGAACGTAGGCGCTGATGATGCGGCGAATTTGCTCTCACCCCTTAAGGGCAGTCGGCGTGTCCTTAGACGGTCGTTGATGCCCTGCGGCAGGCTAGGCAGTCGTCCCACGATGTCTTTGCGGATGACGAAGACGACACCCGCGTCTCATCGACTGCCCTGTGTCGACCACTACAGAGGTAGTTGTAGCCGGCACCCACCTCCTCCGGTTGGTCTTGTTCGGAGAATCGGGTCTCGCTGTGTGCGGCGATGTCCACCGTGTAGCGCGCCAGACTCCGGGCCACTAACGCTGTCCTCCGTTCCGGTGGGTTCCTCCTCGGATTTTCTACAGGGGAACGAACACGTTAGGCTGCCAAAGTGAGCGGACTCAGACTGCCAGTCTGTCGATTGCGGTGGCGAAATGGAGAAGGAGTATAAGAAGGATAATAGGCAGTACATGTAGGAGAGATATTGGTGTTGTTTCGGATTCTGCTGGTTCGATTGTATGTTTTTTGTCTGCGGCCACGGCCAGCCTGCATACGACGTGGTTGGGCAGCGCACCCCCTTAGTAGGGTTGCCAAACTCTGGTGGGTGGGAAACTATATAGGAGAGAAAATACATAAAACAGAACGCACAACCACACAATCACACACACACACACGACAAGCCTCTCCCCGTAATTTTTTAATGATCTTGGACGCCTGAGATTCAGGAACTTACTTTTTGTCTTGGTTAGCTTCACTCCCGTTTGTTTAATGAGTTTACGCTCCAGCATTCACCTTGCTTCTTTAGTCCGGTCAGTTCTTACTTCGATCTTCCCAAGAATTCTTTTTCAATTGCAATTGCATTGAATATCCTTTCAGCGGGAGCACATCTGTTTTGTTTGTCGTTCATCGTACACCCACAGAAATTGGCCCCACCATCGTAGTTGCAGTTCCCTTACATGGTGTGATTACTGAGGATTCTATTGGGTTGGATATCTTACAAGTCCAGAATTTCGCCCTGCACCTCTGGTTGACTAACTGCAGGAGACATCTAAGATGAAGGTGATTGTGATTCCGCGCTTGTTTCCTGTAGACGGTACAGGGCTCTGCAGCATATATGTTCGTAATCCAGAAACCACAATTATATGTCAGGAGTTCAGTGTTAAGATGAAAACTATAAAGTTCTGCAGTCGAAAAAAAGAGGGATTAGTTTTTGGGACCGGTGGGTCAATTCATTGTCGGCTTCGATGCAGGCTTGCATGGTGCTACCAAAATAGACGAAGTTGTTCACAGTTTTCAGTTGCTACTGTTAACAAGGACAAGAAGAAAAAAGTGCATGCAGCGTTGGTTAGCGATTGCCGAATGACTGTCGTTTCGTTTTGCTTGTTATTTATTTAACATCCTCACGAAGTGGCCGCTCCATCGTGGTCCTCGTCTTCTCGTTGGAACTGGTCATTGGGGAATTCGAACGTAGACACTGACAATAGTGACACATTTGGCCTCCCGAAGATGTCGACACAGGTTCAGGGAGTGCTCGTTGACCTCCTGTGTCGGACCGGACAGGATAGGTTCACAATGGCTTTTCGAATGTCATGCGCAGCAATAATTTGTCGTTGGGTGGCCCTCCAGAAGAAGGTGTGACCGACACCCAAATCAACCAGTCTGCTTTCCACGGGGAACAGGATTTTGGCAAGAGCAGCGGCTTCCAACTTGTATCGCGCCGGTTCCTGCTCGACAGGCGCCGTCCTTCGTATTGGCCACTTGCTCCTTGGACTTTCTTAAAGGATATGGACATTTCAAGCTGACAGATTGGACGAACTCACCCTAGGGGCCTGTTTGGTACCCCGGGGAGGGGGAGAACGAGGCTCGTCATATTTCGTTTTGTTTTTCGATCACCATTTCTTATCTACGATTCACCGTCGGAGAGCGGATGACGTTATGCAGTAGTTATTTAGGGCACATTTTTCAACTAGCTTCCCTGGAGTAAGTAGTTATTGATATCCCTGATTATGCCTTCTGAGGAGTCCCAGACAGCATTCGAACTACATTATGTGTCAAGGCTTTGTTTAGTTAAGATAAATCCAAGCTCATATGAGTCGCATATTAGATTGTATGTTACCCTTAACGTGAGACGTCTCAAGTGGAATTGGGAAGGAGGGCGAGGGGGAAATGGCGGTGAGGAAATGACGGGAAGTGGATGAGGGGAAACAAGGGATAAGGAAGAAGAGGGAATAGGATGGGAACATGGCTGCCAAATGCGGCGCTATACATCAGAGTAAAACCGTCATCTAGTTTAACCCACCATGTAGTGATGATTACCGGGATGTTACGTCCTTGGTAGAGCTAAGAGGTGGTTATCGTTTTTATATTTTGTTTTTCGGTCGTGACTTCTGAATCTTCAAGCCACGGTTTGCGTGCAGATGACTTAATCCTGGCAGTTGCACAGAGTGCAGTTTCTATTCGCCTTCCCGCGTGTGGGTATTTATTAGTATCTCTGACAGTTCGACCACTGATTTCGATGATGTCCACAGCAGGTGGGAGCAGGGACGGTGACTTGCGCAGGAGTTTATAGTGCCAGTAGACTTGCGCTGCATCTACCTACACTCTCTCCTCCTCCCCCGCCGTAATCCGATGTCAAGACAGAGTCAAGAACACAGGAGGCGAGGGAGGCCGCAGGTGGATGGCTCGGACGGATCCTCACCTAGGCGTTCCACCACACCCCCCTGGTCCACACAACAAATAACCAGGATTTCAACCAACACAAAAGATATTTGGAGGCTGGTACGGCCGAAGCCGCACCTAGGCGTGCCGCCAACGCCTGGCTCGGATCCCACACTGTGGTGGGAGTGCCATAAAGGCCACATTAAAAAGGAGCCATTGCAGACTGACTCTCAGACCGCCTCCAGTTAAGGAGGATGTCCAAGTTACTCCGTCAGTTGGCAACGTTCCAAGCCACGGCTTTTAGCGCACCGTGATAGCTTCAAGCACGTCAGATTGTTTATAGTGAGGAAAATGCGCTTAGTCGTCGACCTCACTCTCTTTTCCCATTTCCCACACCCCAGCCGCCGTCATGCTGGTCGGCAAACTGGAGTGGGGAATGGGCGCGGTGGCTGGCATGGTCGATTGACCATGCCAGCGCGCGCCACAGCAAGACCTGGCCCCCCATACACACACAAACATCAGGATTTCACACAACGGGGCTGAACGGAGTGGCTCTCACTTGCGTGAGGGGGCCGTGGAAGGTGCTTTTTCAGCCCGTCCACAGCCCACCAGTCCGCCACTACACACAACACACACACACACACACACACACAACGCGACAAACTGCGTGAACCGACAGCGGGCGTCAATCAGCAACCTTCCTATCCACGACACATGACGTGTCGGGATAGTCTCGGACTCAAGTCACCCGTGCAGCCGAGGGCCGCATGGGGACCGAGTCGAGATGCACACTTCCCACTTGCGTGGAAGGTAGCAGTTGGTGCTTGCAGTGGGTGAGTGTTGATGTGTGTTGGTGATGGTGGAGGAGGGTAGGGATTGTGTGGATGTGTGGTGTAACCGGCGGTTGTCTACCACAGGCCGTTGTGGATGCGCATGTGGCCGAATAGACCCATGCGATGAGTGAAGTTGCGAGGGCAGTGTGGGCAGCGGAGGCGAGTGCGGTGGGTGTAGTTTGGTGCCCCAGGCACTGGTTCGCCGGTCTCTGTGCGATGGATTCGCAAGTGGCTGACCAGGCCGATGCGGGAAGTGAAGGTGCGACCGCATTGAGGGCAGGTGTAGTCCTGGTCCTCACCTCTGATGACGGAGGATGCAGGGGTTATGCCTGTTGTTGTGTCAGGTGTGATGTCGTGCGCGAGAGACGCCGGAGTGGCAGTGAAGGAGGATGAGGAGGAGGAAGGGGAGGAGTGAGGAATGGTAAA